AATGAATTTCTATTCAGCTGCTGCACTTTTATAGGCTTGTTCATACTTGCAGTACATTTCAGTTTAGGCCCTCTTCCAAAGAAAATCCTTGACTGTTTTTTTTTCTTTCTTCTCTTTGTATAAATAGCTTTAAAAGTTTTGAAATCAACAGAATGTATTGCTGATATGAGATTCAGATCTGTGCTGAAGTTGAAGCTTATGTCAGCTGGGAAACCGGTACGGATTTCTCTTTCAGGGATTGCTCAAATCAAATTTGGGCTTTTATTATTTATTATTTATTTTAGCATTTTTGCCAAAAAGTGTTCGGTATTAAAGTCAGAATATAAGTGCACAGGATGGGAAACGTTTAGATATTTATGACCAAGCAATAGGTCAAATTTAGCTATGGTGACTTTAGTTATCTAGTATAATACGCTATTGTAAATATTATTTTTGTTTTTAGGTACAGATGGACAGTGATACTTGATCACTAGGTTGCAATAAGTGTACCATAATATTTTCAATTTCAAAGTGTTTCTCTATTTTAACTGGCTAATGCTGTGATTCTGAGCACAGTTCCTTATAATGTTGACACACAACACTGTTTTTGTATGCTGTTGTGAATATTGTTTTCTATTTCTTACTGCTTGATGCTTAATCTTGTCTTTAGTTTTCCATTATCTCAGAATATTTCAGAATATGTCAGTTTGGCAGACTTTAAAATCAAATAATTGCTCGTAATGTTGAAAGAAGATCACATCTGCCTGATCTGCCTCATTCATGGAACAATATCTTAAATTTTGGTACAAGCGCAGTCTTGAATTGACACGAGATTTGGACTTAATAATAAATATGAGCGACCATTTCATCTTTATTAAATCAGATTTTTTGTTGTTAAGGTTATTGAGTTAAAATTGATTACAGTAGCTCACTAACCTCATAAACCTTTTGGAAAGCACAGCTAACAAACAAACAAACAAACAAAAAACATACAAATAATAAAATAACCTAAACAACTTGAGGATGTGGATTTTTGCTGTGGAAAGTGGCCCGCTCATGATGCAGTATTCCACTGGTTGACAGTATGTAAGCCCAAATTATTTACTGAAGTTTGACGACCAATAAGTATTTTGCTGTGAAGTGTCATAGACACGATGCACTTTACACTGCTGATCTCGTTCAATATCATCTGTAACTGTCATCAGGTCAAATAACTGTGAGTTCATTTCTGTGCCCTCACATTAAAAAACAAAATAAAGTCAGTTTGTTTTGCAGCTCAACATCTTGAGTGATGCTGCGCCACTCCAGGCTTGTGTGCTCTTATCATTCTAGTGCTGGATGTAAGGGAAGGCCTCCAACAAGCACCTGTTACTGTGTGATCCCTGAAGCACCTGCTCCATCCAAACCTCCAATATGTCCAGCACTGTGTTAGTCTATTCACTTGTGAATATGGCCCAGATATCTGTTCACAGCTTATGGCATTACATTTGAGAGATTAAAACAGAAGAGCAGACACTGTGATTCCACAAAAAAAAAAAAAAAAAAACCGAGCCACAAATGAAATGAATATAATGAATAACTGTATTCAGGGGAAAACAACTTTGAAAAAGCAATTTGGCATATTGCATACGCGGGGCCACTAATGTAATGCTGTGAATGTTGTTGATGGCACTGGATGTCACACAGAGCCATGTAAGGCGAGGATGAGCGGCGGCGTAATGCACAATAACCCGCCGCATTAACCTCCAGCCCTCCCTCTTCTCATTTTAATCCTGCAAATTCCATTATTCCCCCTCGCAGGTCCATTTGCCTGCATAGGAATCCTAGCCTGCTGCCAACCTCCTTTTATTCCAGCTATCACTGCTCATATAACCTGCTCGTGTCTCCAGTGTTTATCTACCACCGCTGGGTCTCAAGCACTTTGAATAAAAACACAGCTCCAAATCCGCCACTTTGAAAAGGCTACTAATTGCACAAAAGAGCGATCATCCCCTCAGATGGGTTTAAAGACTTAAAACAAACAGATTAAAGCACTAGTAAAGTGATAATGCAGGGTTCACTGTAATTTAACGCATAAAAGAATAGCAAAAGTGGGGCATTCTGCGCTTAGAACAATGTGCCATTACACACGCCAGACACTGCCAAGAGCCACACTGGCCATTGACCTAATATACTGGCATCCCATATGAACACATGAAGTCTAAACACACACACACACACACAGACACACACACGCACACATCCATTAAAGTGCTTTACACTGTGGTTGTATTTGCTCTGTAATAAAGACCAGTAATGCAGAAAAGTTTAAAATCCGCTGTAATTGTGCAACCTTTAGTGTTTATCCCCAGTCTGTGCAGATGTCCTGGAATGCACTTGTTTGATCATTGTGGCTGGATAATGAACACAAGTTTGAAAGAAAGCACAAAGACACTCCGTCCTTACATTAAACATTGATCGTAAAACAAGCACACACTTGCTACATGATGTGCAGTTTTTATTTCTTTTCCTAAAATATTTGGCTACTATACAGGTTGAACTACCGAAGAGTTTAGACTAAAATGACTTCTTCAAAATGGTTTAATCATGTTTTTAATTTTTTTTAGATAACTTTGCAATTTTACTCACTGTGATTTGTAATTCTGGAAGGAAACTGCTTTTTTTTTTTTTTAATTTTTTTTATTTCTAATACTTCTTTGGCCTAATAAAAGTCATGCAACACAAATGCATGTGTCTTTTTTCGAACACTGTTACATACCTTGGCACTTATATAAGGCATAGTAAACAATCTAATAAAATCATGCCGCTTGTAACCTTTTTAGAACAAAGTTGCAGAGTGTTGAGAGCATTATCACATTTATTTCGAGATGACAGAAAATGCGTTTGTTTTTTTAGTTTTTTTAAATAATGCTCATTGCAGGGTGATGCATTACATGTTTTTCTTGCAGGCTGTCCACTGTAACGTCTCAGAGTGACACCTGTCAAACTCAAATCAGCCATCACAGTAATCACTAATCACCGTTATGTGTCATTAATACACAAACTGCACACCGCTTCACTGTTTTGTTGTTTAGTGTGCATAGACACATGAGTCATCTCTAGCGTTTTAGTTTTTCAGTTGAAGCAGTTCTGATGACATGCTTTGAAGGCTTTCTGAGCCTCCCTCAGCTTTTGAGAGTCATGGCACCTCTTTTCCCTTCTTCAGCCAGCATTTTCCAGAACAGTGTGCATTTGTGAGATCTTCTGGCTTTACAAGTTGGACATTTGTCCTGGAAAACTACTTGTGCGAGGTAGCTGAGGCAACTCTGAGGTTCCCTCGTCAGTCCGAACTTTTCTTGAGATGCTAATTGAGCGTATTTTGACTGCTGTCATTTTTAATCATTGGTTTTGTTTTCAAATGATCTCATTTATAAATGTCAAATTCCTCGTCAGTGGCCTCAGCTACAGCTTCATCAGCAGAGCTGTTGCCATCAATACCTCCAATATTAAAGAAAAAGCTCTGAATTGAACGTGTAACCAGTTAAAGGGCCACTATGTTACTGAAATGATAAACCAAACCGACACACTTCTGTGTCATTGTGTCTGGGTTCAGCCATTAAAATGGTGACATGACGCGACCATCATCAGGTCTAATTGGAAATTACTTTTATAATTTTCATCCAGCAGAGTGTTACATTGGAACATTGTTAAAGACAGATCATTTGAGGAGTACAAGAGTTGGTTGCTTTACTGTAAATACTGGACCACCATGTTTTAATTGGTAAATGCAGACATCCGACAGGTTGCTAACAGCTATGGAATTAACAAAAAAACATGGAAAGTATATATTATAGTAAAGGCATCTATCTAAAGAAGGTCGGTGGCTTGTTTTGTAGATACCTAGTTTTTGTCATACACAATCATTTACATGAGGCTAAAAGCTGAAGATTCTCATTTCTTTACCAGTAATAGATATTGTAGGCAAAGATGAAGTACAGCCACAAGATACATTTTTAACATGGCTACAGAGACAAACGTAGCTAAATGTTGTGCAGCATGCTTGTTACCTTAACAGCAAAAAGATCATGGACTGGTAAAAGAACATTTTGGGAAAGGAGCAAATCAGTAACTGCAGTAAGAAGATGAGGTGTGGGTAAAGCCAAAACACAATTTACATCCTCTCCAAAATGTGCAGAACATGACAGACATCACCGAACATTTAGTCTGTGGAGAGAAGAAAGGTTAACGATTTGAAACATTCAGTTTCAGGCCTCTGATCTCTTCTGTTCATGGAATCAAAAATAGAAGATAATCTTGGGATTTTCAGATTGGTTGGAAACACTGGCCAGTGTGTTATTTATGCTTACAGTCAGACGGGGATGGAGACATCATGGGCTGCTGCCCAGTTGGCGTTAGCCCGTATCCTCAACCTTTCCTTGTTGGCTCTGTCATAGTAAGTGGAGTCAGCTCGTTTGCATTGCAATGCCACTGGGCCTTCTATTCTGCGCTTGGTAGATTTTACTTTGTGGTTTGGCTGGAACTTCAACCACCAGACCGCCATGTTGATGCTGCCCATCCTCCCTCCCTGTCTCACCCTCTGAAAAACTAGCTTCACATAGTCAGAAAAGATTGTTGTTCTTACTGTGTGAACTGATAATCATTTGCCATTGTGCTTCGGGTTTTCTGCAATAACCTCCTAAGGCGTTTAACCTCAGTGGTTTATTTAACAATTTGTCCAGGAAAAAGGAATTGGTGTTATTATGTATTAAAACCAAATGAAACTGGTGTTTACACACACACACTTTGTAAAAGCGCATCTGGCCGCAAAAGACAGGAAATTGTACCCTTAAAATGTGTGGATACAGTAGGTCATGTGACCACAGGTGGACAACATGTCTGGACCAACTAATATGCAGTTTCAGTTAACTTCAGCTCCAATGTTGGTCTGTTCTGTTGAGTGCAAAATATCTCTTTCCTCTGATGGAACTGCTTTGTGAACTTTAAATTGTCTTTAACTCTAAACCTTTTTTTTTTTCTTCCAGCTGGCAGGGGAAGCCCAAGAGCTGTTCTCAGTGCGTCATGGTCCAGTGCGAGCTGCTCGCATTCTGCCAGCCCCACATATCAGTGAGTATTGTCAGTACCTTCACATTACCACCATATAGAACTGACCTGCATTGAAGCAAATGCTGCACATTCTGATTTCAAACAAGGTTCATGATTATCTCATAATGTTGATACAGTAATAACATTGTAGAGTTGTTCATAAAGACTTTTGGTGAACAATGAAGGCGAGCCTTTCAATGCTCTTCAAAAGTCACACTAGTTACAGTATAGTTTAAAATTTATTTTGTTTAACTTTTAGAATTGATCTAAGATTTGGATTTAGATTTAAGAAGAATAGTTTGACATTTTCTTAAAATACACTCACATGGGTTAGCTCAGCTTAGCATAAGGACTGGGAGCAGGGAAACAACTAGCCTGACTTTGTTTAACACATCGAATCACCAACACCTCAGTTTGTTTGGAATTAATCGCACATTTCTCTCTTGTCAAAGATCTTCAGCTACACAAAATATTCTTGCTGTAATGTTAACTACAATAAAAGTATATTTTCATTGAAATTTGAAAAAAACAAAAAACGGTTTGACAATATTGTGTCAGAGTCTAAATTAAGGACATAAGTGCATACCACACAAAAGTTTGGCCTCAAGTCAGATGTTGCAACTCATTTATCTAGAAGCCAAAGATCTTTAGCTGCTCAGTTGAGAGCTGGTATTCTTCCTCTGGCCATTGAGGTTTGTTAATCCAAAAAACATTCAGGAGGAAAACAGAGTGTGAGCTGTGTGATCTAAGGAGAGGGGAGAGTGTGCCCCATTTTCTTCTATTACTGTACGAACTGTGATTCAAGAGGGAACATACTTTAGTCTATCAGTGTTATATATCTTGTTTTTTTTTTTTTTTTCAAGATTGTTATTAAATTCTGTAGAAAGTGAATAGGAATATTTGACAGAAAACAACATGTCAAAACTGCTCCTTCAAGGGCCACATATCCGCATCTGTTTCAAATGGAACTGTAACCAACTTCGTAGCTCCAAGATGGCGTCACGAGACCATTACCGTGGACGAGACAGAAGCTCAGCTGTTTTCACCTTGTCTCGCCACATGAACTGCCACCCTCAAATGCTCCCTTCGCTTTATTTTTAACACAAGATTTATCTCCCCGGCTCACATGTGGTAGGGATACGGAGGAAGTACCTGCGTGTACTTTTGGACATATTTTCTTTGTAAGTCCTCTGAAGTGTCGTTTCAGCATAAATGTTCTCGGGAAGAAAAAAAAATAAAAAAACTTCTCTTTGGTTAACTTGATTTCAGCATCCAAGGTCAACACTAAAAATTAAATTTTGTATGGCACATCCTAATGCAGTTTCGGGTTGTGGGCATTTTAAGTGGTGCTATATCATTAAAATTAAAGAGTGCTCCTTGCTGCCTCATCCTGATGTTGAAGTCAATCTACGATTACTCTTGGCCTGCTCTCAGCCTCTGAGCCTCTGAAGTCAGTGCTTCTTTGCTGCCAAAGCTCTTCTGGAAACCTCACTGTGCCGTCACTATTCTGCTAGTGATCTCCCCAACTCCTCTAAGTCTAAATCTTCTCCTTACGATTCTTTAATAATTAGTTTAGGTAGATGTGCATTTAATGAGTACACATTTGTTATATTGACCTAAATTCTTTTACCAGATTGATACTCAATCCAGTGGCGTCTCCTGTCATTTTAGATACCCCAAATATTAAAAATCAGTCAAACTTTTAGACCTGAGTCCGTCTTGAATGAGTTGGGGCTTCTTTGTAGCTGCCATTTTTTAGAATTAAACAACAATGCAGGATACTAAAAATAGAAACAGAAAGAGAAACTAATTCTTCAATCAATAACCAATAATATAATACTTTGTAGCAGGAGTATTTGAGAAAGGATAACCTCTGTATCAATGGCTCCATGGTTCCATCATATAGTGACATTAAGCAGTAAATGTAATCAGGCTTAAAAATGAGGGGAATAGATAAAAACTGCAAAAATAAAAAACTTGGCATGTTTTGCTGATGTGGAAACACTTGCATATTGATAAGGAGAAAATGTGACGTGTTCAACAAAAACAAGTTTAACAAATATTACGACTAAAAGGTCTGGTGAAACATTTTGGGTGCACCCAAATTATGTGCTCCTGCACTTAAATAAAAACCAATGTAAAAAGTCAGTCTGGGGCCCTGACTGCATTTCAGCTGCTAGCGAGGTAGCTGCTCAGCTGCAGCACATTTAACAGTCTGTAACCATAGCTGCAAATTTCACCGGGGTTGGTCAGATGCTGTTATGCTGATCACTCGTCAACACCACTAACAGCACGCTGTCTTCTCATGATGTATAGCTACAGTGCAAGTTTGTTTAGTTTGTCTCTCGTTCCCTATGGTGGAACACCGGCACTCTGGCAGCCAGCCAGCACTGTCAGCCAAACACAGACAGGAACACACCCCGCCATCTCGCTGAGACAAAAAAAAAAAAAAGAATATTTCTGATATTTCACCAAGCACCCTTTTTTTTTTTTCTTCAGTATATAGAATGTAGTGAAACATTATTAACAACACATTTTACAACAAACAGACATTACTGACTTCATATCTGACTTCATATGGGGATGGCTAAAAGTGATTTCAGTTGTACTTTAAAACTATCTTGAAGTGGAAACTAAAAAATTAACAATACGTACAGATAACAATGATAGCTTTGTAGCAGGGCAAATACAGAAAATGTTCATTTTATTAACCAGTGCTTCCAAGTTAACAAAAAAGTAGCAAATGTTACAATCAAAATGGTTTGTGTGTGTAAGTACTAAGATAAGATAAGATAAACTTACACAATTATACATAGTACAATACATAGTGAAATGTGCTCAGTACCTGCATCCAGTTGCAAAAAAAAAAAAATAAAAAATTTTTTAAAAATTAAGATACCGAAAGTGTTCGATATATATATATACACACATAGATAAATCAAATCAAATAAAATCGAATCAAATAAAACAAATGGGAACATGTATTGTACAAGGTGCAAAAATCTAAAAAGGTGCCAGTGTGTAGTGGATTACAGTTCATTTTAAGGCTCAGAGTTACTACACTTGATTGATATCCTGCAAACCTTGTCATTGGTCCTGTTGCACCCATTTATGGAATTGTCTGATTGGTTTGTGAGGTTAGTGACCTTGTGTAATTTTTACTTGGATCCTGCTAACTTCACCCAAAGGAGAAATCCAATCACACACAACAAGCAGAAACACCTGTGAACATGTAGAGGGCTTTTATTATATATGCATAAGCACTCACTGTATCCTGGTGTTTGAAGTGACCGACAAACACTTTAGTGTCTCGTTTGTAGCATCAGTGCTAAAACTCACTGGTGTTAGGCAAACACAATTATACAATGTAACTTCCTAAATGTGCCTTGTTAGAAATGTCCTAGGGATGGGCTTGGCACTTGGCCTTAGCCATGAGAGGGATGGATTTGGCACAAAGAGGTGCAACAGTTGGAAAATATCATCTGAAATGTGTAAAGCAGTTGGAAGCCAGACATTACCCATGTGGAAAATCATTGTAATTGGGTTGTCATTCTTAAATAACACTTTACAGAGCAAAGATAGCCTTAATTTTTGCAGAATTTCCCAATTTTCCCACTGAAAAGAATATTGTTGATCCCCGATTTGATCCGTTGTAGTCTATTCTTTCAAGTTTCATGTGTTTTGAGTTGCCCTTGTGTTTAATAAATTGTTGACTCCCTCTGGCACCAATGGAAAATTATGGGACCAGATGAATACAGTTATGTTTGAGAATGAATAGGTTATAAATTGCATGTTGCTCTCAAAAAATAACAGTATTTACTGTTATTTTTAGTGATCTCAACCAAATGTTCAGTAGTCTGTAAACACCTCCCATTTTGTCAAAGAAAAACAACTGTTTAAGGAAAGAATGCACATGAATTTACACGACAACTGCTTACCTCGATGCTGTTTCATAATAATCAATCTACCAACAACGATAATGAGTTTTATGGATTTATAATGTGTCTTTTTCAGACACTGGAAAGTCGAATACACTATGAATGCTAGTGTTCATATCCTCAGAGGCACGGTGCAAATGGTTTAGTTGTTCCACTGATTAGACCTTTTCCAGACACGCAGTTTAAATTTCATCTCTGCAGGTGTCAGTCAGTGCTGAGAAAGCTGGCTTGTGGCATTTTTTTCGGTGAGAAAATCGCCTTTTTGTTCTCCGGCCATGTTCCGGTCTTTTGGCAGATTTGAACAACACACAATGGCAGCATTTGAAGAGCGCTGGAAGTGGATGAAAGCAAACCACAGTAATAAGAAGCAGCAGATAGCCCCGACACATGAGGGGAGTAATTCTCTCAGCAGAAAATAAATATGAATTGTACTACTGGAGGGAAGGACACTGATTGCAATCTGCTAGGGCGCAAACAGTGTCGCACTGTGGCGAGCCATTAAAAGGCCAATTGTCTGGGATGGGAGGTCGTGGGTGGGCAGACGTATGAACTCCCGAAAATAGGTGTTGATTATAATAAGGCAGGGCTCCTCTTTCCTAGAATAGAGAAGGAAGTACTGGTTTTCCAAAGGGAGTAAATGCGTTTATCCACATCCTCTCTAGAGTTTACAACCTATAATCTTCCGTTGTCTTGGAAAATGAGTCAATGTATTCCCTGACTGGTAACAACTGCGCATTGAGGAAATATGAATATATATAAAAAATATGTACTGCGGGTCTTTGTGCTCGTTTGCAGTGGAGGTCAATTTGTATGTCTTCACAACAGAGTCACATTTGGGATGCTTCCACCCTGTAGAAGTCATTCTATGAAGTCTAACAATAAACATGTTGTCTGTAATGTTTCAGGCCATGTTATAGTTTTATCTAAACACACACCCATCCTCACTGTAACATTTCAACACACAGTCCACGGGGAAGTCAGCAGTACTTGCCTCAGTTACTGTCCATTGCAGTGGTAATCAAATCAAAGTCTTTCTATTCATCAAATGTTGCATTTTTTTTCCAGAAAGTTTATTTTAGTAAATGTACCATTTCACTAAGTCTCGGCGAGGCCATATTTATGTTGCAGCTCAATATCTTGACTGGGAATGATGTCTGATGGCAGAAACATGAAAGAAGAAAGGAGTCTGTAGGGAGTGTTAAAGGCTGGTAGGGAAGCCACTTTTGCTCTCACGCCATACCACAGGAACTCGGGCTGATTACTGTCAAGCCTCAAATTACAGTCCTCTAAAGGGTAACATCTTCTTCAATCTAAGCACCCCCATCCCCTCAATCCCCTGATCCTCTGCCCGACTTTAAAAATAAGACAATTAGGGAAAATATGGGATCAGTCCACTTAATGCAACATGTTTTCTCTACATTTTTTTAATATGCCTGTTGGGCTTATACCATGCTGTAATTCCATCCTTAAACACCAAAAACAAACAAGGAGATTGACTGAAAATCTTACTCGCTTTTGCAACACTCAGGAGTTTTCTCAAGCCTGTTTTGGTTCCGTAATGTATTATTTCTGTTACTGTAGTTTTTGAACAGCTTTTCCTTGAGAAAGCCAAAGAATTTTTTCATTTGTCTCCTTGAAATTTCTTATTAAAAACGTATGCAGTAGCAGATTAGAAGAACCGTAGAACACAAAAGTCTTGACAGTATGTGGATTCCACACATTCAATGGTGTGGACAGTGGTGGATTTGGAAGAAAAATCTCTGTTCGTCAAAAATGTTTTTCGACCATAATTGGATTACAGGGCAACAGTAGTAATGTAATCAGCACGTTTCCTGTCATGGTAATAGGCTGTCTGTTGAATGAGGGTGGGCAGCAATAGAGGCCTCACATGCTTGTTAAAGAATGTCCCTCTTTGTTGTGTGCAGATCATTCTGTTTCTCATCTGCCTCTTCCTCTGACTCCTCTTCCTCCTCAGGTCCTCAAAAGATGGACAGTTTTGCTGACAAGAGGCCTCTGCTTGGGGTCTGCAAGAGCACCGGGTCCTCTGGGTGAGTTAGTGTATCATAATAAAACTGACATCAGTCCCTCTCTCAGCAAGCATCTTTAGATGTTTTTAATCACTACGATCCTTTCTGGTGAACGTCATCTATTATAAAATACAATCTACGCCAGTTGGTCACAGCATTAAAACACAGTCACACTAAAAAAACTGCTCAGGAACGGCTCGAGGAAACTGACCAAGAGATCAAGGTGTTGACACGGCCTCCAAAATACCTAAAACCTAATCTGATTGATCATACCCATGATAACCAGAATTAGCCTGATCCACAATGGGTCGTTAATAGACTTAAGAGATCCACTGACGATGTCCTGGTTCCAGATATCACAGGGCATCACCAGAGGTCCTGTATGTGTGCCCTAATGGGTCACAGCGAGGGTTGCATGTTGTCCTTTCTGTAGCTAAAGTATTTCCAAACAACTGATGCTGCATTTCTTTTTGTAACCAAATCCTGCTTTTCGGCTCTCTTCTGTTCCCCACTGAGTTTGTTGCGTACACGCAGTCTTGTTAATATGGTTAAAAACAACATAAAGAACGCTGCAATCGGAATAAGCGACATTCTCTCAAACAGATTTCTCTTATAGAGTAGTCACTGGATATCATAGCTCAGAGCTTCACTTAGACTTGAGTCTTTTTACATAAAGTGACTTTATATTTTAAGTGTGCGCTGCCCTTTTAGACTGACATGGTTCATAAAGCATCAATTTAAAAAAAAAAAATTAAACAGCTGATTAGGAATAGTAATGATTACCAGTTTAATTGTTAATGTCAGTTAATAATTTCATCATAAATAAACTCTGTTAATCAGTAAGGCAGAAGATGAAGGACATGTATGTCAAAAGAAGTATTGTAGATCTGCTGTAATACCTGGTGACACCACCGTTTATTATTTAGTTAAAATGGACGACTACAGCCACCAGAGGAGGCGGTTACTTGAACTGCAGGCTGTTTTAAGATGGCAAGCAAAGAGCATTGTGGAGGTTTAGCAAGCAACAGGCCACCATGACAAAGACTTCTGTGGCATTTAATGGCTTCTTGCCAGAGCTTTAGCTTTACTAAAGTCGAGTTGAACTCATTGGGGATGGTGGCCCAATAACTAAGTGGTTTGTCAAACCAAGCCACTTATGCAGCAAATGCCACGTCCTAGCTTTATCACTACATGAAAAACTGCCCACTATGCTTCATTCAGTTGACAATTTAGTGATTATTGATTGATAAAACTGTTGAATATCATTTCAAAAAATTATTGTGAATTTGCTGTCTGTACATGAATTTCCAACTTTGTGTTAATTAGGGATTCTACATCGCAGTCTTGATCAGCCCATTGGCATTTACTTGCCAGTACCAACTGATGCAGTTTAGTAACTTTATTGCTTAGAGAGTCTAGTGTAGTCTGAAGATGTTAACTTACCCATATTACACAAACTCGTTACAAAGGTTCATAATAATGTGCTGAAAAAGACACAGCAATCCCAAAATAAAAAGCTCACCTTCTTGGTTTTCCAGAGCCCCACACCATACATGCACTACAGGTGTCCACATACATTGTGTGTTGTGTTGTTTAAACAGACATTATATTTGGTGAAGGTGGCATAATTCTTTCTTAAGGTCTCACAACATGACGCTCAGGACAAAAACTTAACGTAATAGCCCATACTTCAGTTGTTCTAGTGACTTGTAAAACAAGGACTTTGTGTCTCCTATATTTCTGGTTGTTGAATTTTGGAATCTCATTTATTCAGTGTCCTGGTTTCTGTTTGTTGTGAGCAAAGATCAAAACCAAAGAATGCTGTAAGCTGAATACATACAGACAGCATTTTAGGTAGCAGTACAGAAAATCTAAAATTGGTTCACTTATGTGAATTAATGTGACAATATGGCATATCTGTTCTTCTCCAGTGGGGAGTTCTGGTACACTAACTAGACGAAGAGAAACTAAAGCAATCTCTGTGTGCTGTTGTATTGACCCGTCCTCATGGCGTTTCTTTAAATAGGGTAGAAGGGAGCGGAAGGTGTTTTACTGTTTGCAGTGTTATGAAGTACAACAAATGCTACATCTGAAAGTAATTTTTAATAATAAGAGGCATCAAAGGACACCCGACTTCTTGTTATGAACCCTTCACATGCACCCAACTGGAGGTGAGCCAGTGATGTAGGCTTAGTGACTGTGATTCATGGTTTCTATGTGGCGCTATGGTTGGAATGCAAGCAGTACCTGAATGCCCCAGAGGAAACAGAAGGGAGATTAAGCAGATGTGTAGATCCTGGGGAATCTTAGGGCTTGAGCGAGGAACGCTATGTCTTTGTTTAGTGAAAGAAAGTGAATTTAAAAAGTGACAGACCCCAAGGCATCTTCACTCGCTACTCCATACCCAGTCTGTGCCCTCTCCACATCCTCCCCCCTCTTCCACTTATTTCTGCTGCTCTTCCAGAGCAACACAAAATTTAACTCAATATATCCTACCCAGGAAATGAAATAAGGAAGTCTGTCTTCAGCAGGGCCTTGACGGAGACCACCTTCTTGATGTTTTCCAGGAACTGCCGACCCTGTCTCTCTGACGCCATTGCTGTTGCTTCTGCTTTTCCTATGTCCTCACTGACACTGAGACAGGCAGCTTTTTGACGGTTTGGCGAATCACCCAGGCGTCGCTCGACACTAATGCTGAAAACATGCACTGTGTTGAAAAGCAGAAACCCTGACCTCTGGCTGAATGGCACAGCCTGGTTCTTCCCCCGACAGAAGTGCTTGGTAAATAACACTCTGGTCAAAGACGAGAAGGAAAAAGGCTTCCGGGTGCGGCGCAGTACTTTCCATTGGGCCTGTTCATAAACTTACTAAGGTCCTCACACAATTTTTAGCATATAATCATTTTGAAATAACAGCTTTTGTTAACCACCAAAAAGGATGCCGTCCTGACACTTAAATGGAAAACAGATTGGAGCCTTGGCCGCTACAGCGGTGCTGGTTTAGAAGTTGGTTCAGTCAGCTCTAGGCTTAGATTACAAGATTTGCAAATTAAAGGAAAACCAGAGAAGGGAAAAAGCATGTGTGCTGAAGCCCTGTACTTGTGGATTTCCAGCCAGGCACACTCAACATAATTTTATCAATGGAAAGGATTATGCGTTAAGTCCAAACAATGTATGGATCCAGTGATTTTCTTGACAGTAAAGCTACATATGCGTCCCTCTCACTCTTTGCACCAGTGCCAGTGGGCTTTGGGAATTAGTAAAGAATGCTGGTGCCATTGCAGAACTTAGTATGTCTGGAAAGGATTTGTTTCCTTCCTCTAGTTGCCATTGTTATTATTTTCATTCATTTTAATTATATCCACAGGTATTAAAACACTGGGAGATTTAAGGCTGCTTTCTCTCCATGAAAGTAAAGTTTATGGCCAAGATGGAGGCAACTTAACTGTTTGTGGGTGTTTGAGTGCACACACTTCTTGGGCAAAAGTTCAAGGATGAATAAGCATGCTTTGTTCTCTGGAGTTTGGGAACTGTCAGTGACATTTCCAACCTCCAGCTACCCCCTCACAGCATCTCCAGATGCTGAGAGGATGTGGTCCCTTTTTCTTTTAACCAATATAGTCCTCTTTCACCATGCGTATTACTACTGGATGTGCTATTTCAAGGCTCTGGCTGATACACATGGATACAGTGAAGAGATTTCACAGTCACCATTGAGGCCATGGATGCTCTTTTTTTTCTTGTGGGGCTGTACATTTAGTGTGCTTTTGTCTGCTCCGTGTCATAAACCTCGCCACTGCCATTCCTCAAACATATAAATATTCTTTTATTTCATGTATTATTTATTTATTGTATAGCAACTCATCCCATTTTTAGATTTTCTTCACCAGTTTGTAGCCGTTTAGTCACACGATCTTCTCTCAGTTGAATGATTTGCTCCTGACACTAGTAAACCTTTGTCAACGCTAGTTGAATTGATTACTCTTGAAATAGACTAAAACCATGCTGCACAGAAGACTGTCAGTTTTTCCATGACTACCCACTCCTATGTGTTGCTTAGGAGGTTTAAAGTGTGTAGCATCATTGTTTGAATGGAGAAACCCATTTGTGAGACGCGTTCCACTCTACAGCTGAAAGGATTCGCTGATGACTGGATTAATTGACAGACAACTCATTTGCAAATATTTAGATTATTTAGTCATTATTGCCGTAATAAATAGATATTACCAGCTTCTCAGAACAGCTCGGTGTCACAAACATTCAGTGTTCTACAACTGAGCTACGTTTTCAGTTAGAGGGAAACATATTTTCTGCTGCTTTTGTTTGTCATGTTTTTGATAGGAAGGAACTCATCAGCTTTGAAACTCCGATAATGGAGAAAAAGCTTTAAACATGTTGTGAAGGGGTTGTATTTTAACCCAAAGTGTGACATTTTCCTAAACCTAACCATGTACAGTATTTTTGGTACCTAAACCTAACCTAACGGCGAGTGAAAATGAAACACAAGTCTAAGAATTATGGCCCAAATGGGACAGGAATGCTTGTGCGGCTCTTTTAAACCGGAAACCTTTCCCACAACAACACAGTCACACCTGTCGGAAAGAAGATCCATTTGTTTTTAATGTAAATGACAATGAGTTTAGCTGGAATGTAATTTTTGCGAGCCTTTTGCTTAAAAGTAAAGTTTGCTGAATATATTTGGGTTTGAAATAGTTTTTCAAAGCAATTGCAACAGCTGATGTCAGGTTGCACCATATAAATCTATAATTATGAGAATTTGTGTACTTTACCCTTTTGACATTTTATAGTCCAAACAATTAATCGGTTACCTGAAGACCATAGTTAGCAAGGTAACTTGGTAACTTGGAAAATGATTAGCTGTAGCTGCTGTTCACTCTTTTTTTCCTGTTTTCTTCTTATTGGTAAAATAACCAGAATGCAATTTTCAAAGCAACCTTAAACTCGAATCCTAATTGTAATCTTGGAGTTCAGAAGGCCCTTGCATTTTTTTTTTAAAACTAA